GGTTGTTAACCAATGTCATAAAACAACATGTGTACTACTGTTTCATGAGAAACTATTTGTTCTGTAAGCCTTCACCTGAAGTACAATAAAATATAAAAAAAAAAAAAAAGACAATGCTGTATGAAAATTCTTCCTGATCACAAATTTATCAGTTCTGTTCCCACCCCTTTTTCCATGGCAATGGCAATAAAACTTGGTATAAGACTTTGGAAAGTTTTTATCTTCGGAACATTTCTGACATGCTAGTTGAAATGTTACCCCGAGTTGCAAATTGTATATTCAATAAACATTAATCGATTTCTATTATTGGCTTAATATGATTTTTGCTTCAACAGTAGAGATTAATTTGAACTTCCTAAACTCACAAAAATTTATTTATCAAATAGGCTAACATCATTCATATATTGAAGATCATGAGAAATGTAAACTTTTTCAACAAAACTCAACCATTATTCTGACAAACTATATTTACAGTAATTATTTCATAGCGCATCAACAAACTAATCTTTGTGTTCTTTAAAAACCCATTACTGTGGATTCCGACTCATAGCGACCCTATGGGACAGAGTAGAACTCCCCCATAGGGTTTCCAAGGGAGCGGCTGGTGCATTCGAACTGTCAACCTTTGGTTAGCAGTCTAGCTCTTAAACATTGTGCCACCAAATTTAAAACTTTGTACTAATATTAAATTGAGCGAATTAATGGACAATTCTTGGATGCTTAGTTATGTTCTAATATATAGTGTTGCTTATCTTTATATGCTATTGAGGAACTCTTATCTTTGGGTCAGATTAATGAACTCGTTCATTTTTGCCACTTGTAAGAGATATGAAACGTCTGTACTGGCTGTAGAAAGTTGTTTTGTAGTCATAAGCTTAAAGTGTCTTAAAATGCTTGAATATGACAGTTCTCAATAGTGCCAGAGTCTCTAAGAGGAAACTGTGTAACGGGATGAAGCATAAATACGCACGCTGTAATTACACTGAATATTACGTGCACGCAGTAACCATCCCAGACATGCATGTGAGCGCCTGTCCCCACGCCCACGACCTCAGGCCCGCCGCCTCCGCCCCGCGCCTTCCGCTGACTTACGCCTTATTCCGGCCAGCTGGTTTCCACCCTTGGGCACCGCCCTCTCTTCCGGACCTACACGTCAGCGTTCTCGCTTCCCGGTAACTAAGACGATGAGAAGGACTTCCTACTGAGGCGGATTTACGTCATATTGGAACCAAGTGAAGCCCTGAGACGTGCTGGCTGCTCCCAGAGAATGGTCTGGTGGGCTCTAGGGTTTCCTGAAACGGAAAAGTTTAGGGGCAAACGTGGGGACAGGTTCTCTGAGGAACTGCGGTTTTGAAGCTATACACACGACTACCTTTTCCAAAATGGCGGCGCGGCTTCACTGAGTGTCTTGCTTCCGCTCGCCGCCGGATTGGCGCTCTTTGATTGGCTATTGGACGGTGCCGTGGAGTGACGTACAGGTGTGCTGACCAATCGGCTGAGAGCTGAGCTGGACTTGGCGGTGGGAGCCGAAGCAGGACTCTTCCAGCTGTTGGTGCGCCCTGCTTCGGCCAGGTGAGCCGGTCCTGCCTGCTGAGCGCTGGAACACGCAGGTGATGGGGATGGGGGGCCGCCAGCGTGAGCATGAGCCTCTGCAGGGGACTTGGTGGGCAGCTCTGGTTTGGGGTGAGGCATCTTCCCCGGGGGGGCAGGAGAACTGGAAGGAGAGGGTGACCCAGAAGTCGGCTGAGTGAGAAATCCCCCGCCAGGCCGGGCGGTCCAAGCACCGGTTTCTGTCTCCCCCTCTCTCAGAATCGCGGGGTGCGCCCAGCCGAAAGGATCCAACCCCTATTTTACAGTTGAGGAGTCTGGGATTCAGGTGATAAGACTTCTGCTTCGTGACAGGTCTGGGTCTAGAACCCAGGCCTTTGGACCTCCTTCAAGGGTTAAACCTTACTTAAACTTGGCTACAGATGGCCACTGTGTCCTGAAAAGTCATACCTTGGTAATATAAGGGTGATTTCAGATTTTTTTGGCGGATACCACTCACAGGATCTTCCTAGGCCTTTCGTTCACTTATTCACTAATTCATTTATTGAGCTATTAATAATTTTACTCTTCCACTTTTGAGAATTTGATAGAAACCATGGACCCATCTCCCCAGAGAAGTGGGCATTCGCTCATACACACAAATTTTGCGTATAATTTCAAAGGGTTCATTGACTTCCAAAGTCCTCTGTGGGTTATGTGCCCAGGGTTAAGAACGCATGTTCTAGAAGGGATAGGGCAAAGAAAGTAGGGGACAGAGAGAGCAAGTTTTAATATGTGGATACTTGGGGACATTGGATAGAGCCAGTACTTTCTAATAAAGGAGACTGTGTTTTGGAGAAGGGAAAACAGTCATTTAATGAAGGCTTCTGAGGTACTTGCTGAGACTTGTGCTTTCATTAGAACTTGCTTTCATTCCCACTTCAGTTATCTCTTTGCCATATGTGTGCAGTACTTGAGTTTTCCGTGGTTGCCAGAAATAACATACAATTGCTAGAGAGTTTCGGTTGGAGCAAACATTTGGAATTTCTGTGGTCTGGGTTGTGTGTAATGGAGTAATTCATTCATTTGCTCTTCTAGTAATATTATTGCTTTAGTCCAAATTATTTACAGTACTACCAGTACCATTTGCTGTTGAGTCGATTTTGACTCATGGCAACCCCATGTGTGTCAGAGTAGAACTGTGCTGCATAGGGTTTTCAGTGGCTGATTTTCTGAAAGTAGATTGCCAAGCCTTTTATCTGAGGTACCTCTGGATGGACTCAGACCTCTAGCAAGCAAGTGCATTAACCGTTTGCACCACCCGGGGACTACAGGATGTGTAACGCACTCAGTGAAGTTGGGTTTATCCAGGTTTGAGAAGCTTAGTGAAGGGCTGTTTTACTGACTGGAGTCTTTCAAAGCATGAGCAGAAGCAACTATGGCAAGGAAGCAGGTCGTGGTGAGACTCATCATAGTAGCAAACTTTCCTTTGTGATTTTGCTGGTTCCACCTAGACAGACTTTGACTCAAAACTGGTGGCTGCTCCCATTATGAACTGGATTCAGAGATCAATACCCGATTCTTTTCTCCACAGTAAGCAAGGGGGGGAGAAAGGGCACAAAAACATAAGATAATATGGAATGTAAAATTTAATACATTGTTTCAGTTTTAATAGAGCAAGGAGGGAAGGGGATCAGGGAGGAAGGTAACTGGACAAGGAAACAGGGTTTAGGCTTGACCTTGGACAAGGGGCTGAAATGGGCTTAGTGGCTGGATGATGTTTGATCTGAGAGGAGGTTTGTTGTTAGCTGCTCTTGAATCAGCCCCTGACTCATGGAGACCCCATGCACAATGGAACAAAGCACTGCTTATCCTGTGCCATCCCTTTGATTGGTTGCAGATCAGACCGTTGGTGATCCATAGGGTTTTCATTAGTTGATTTTCAGAAATAAACCTCCAGGACTTTCTTCTTAGTCAGTCTTAGTCTGGAAGCTCCGCTGAAACCAATTAAGCATCATAGCACACAAGCCTTCACTGACAGACAGGTGGTGGCTTTGTGTGAGGTGCATTGGGCAGGAATCCAACCCAGATCTCCCGCATGGAAGGCGAGAATTCTCTCAGTGAACCACCACTGCCCCTTGAAAGGAGGTTTATATTCATATTATTCAATTACATGCAGCTTAGAGATGGTCAAATGATTGCAAACCTTTTGCTTTTTAAAAAATTTTTGTAAGTGCTAGAAAGAAGGGCTGAGAAAGGAACAGTAGTCAAAGTTAACCGAGGTGAATTGGCTTCTGGGAAGGGAGAAGGCTTTGATATTCTCATCCTGCAGTGACAGGCTTTTCAGAGCAAGTGGTTAGGAAGCACCGTGTTAGATTACTGTTATGGATTGAATTGTTTCCCACAAAAATGCATGTTGTAAAACCCATTCCCAAATGGGATTATGGAAACCTGGTGGCATAGTGGTTAAGTGCCGTGGCTGCTAACCAAAAGGTCGGCAGTTCAGATCCATCAAGGCGCTCCGTGAAAACTATGGGGCAGTTCTACTCTGTCCTTTAGGGTCGCTATGAGTCAGAATCGACTCGACAGCAGTGGGTTTCGTTTTTTTGGTTTACATTCCTGGGACTGCGTTGATTCCTATCCTGCCTGAGGCCTGGCTGTTTTTCCTTCGAGTCTATAAATTACCCAGGTTTTTAAATGGGATTATAACCACAGGGATCCCTGGTTTTAATCCCATTTGGGAATGTGATTTCTTTGTTATGTTAGTGTGGTAGTATTAGTCTAGGATGTGTTTTAAGTCAGTCTCTAGAGATATAAAAGAGCAAGTTAAGCAAGCAAGCAAGCACAAATGGGGGAAGACAGATGCCAGTCCACATGAAGATCACCAAGGAGCCAAGGAGCAGAAGCTGAAAAGACATAAGGACCTTCCCCCAAAGCCCACAGAGAGAAAAAGTCTTGCTCTAGAGCCAACATCCTGAATTCTAGCCTCCTAAACTGTGAGAGCATAAATTTCTGTTTGTTAAAGCCACCTACTTATATTTGTCATAGCAGCACTAGATAACTAAGACTGATTATTTTCTTTAGTTGAGAATTTCATATACTATTAAAGTTTTATCTTCATTTCCTTTTTAGACTATGGCAACGTATCTAGAGTTTATTCAGAAGAATGAAGAACAGGATGGTGTGCGTTTTAGTTGGAACGTGTGGCCTTCTAGTCGTCTTGAGGCTACGAGAATGGTTGTCCCCCTGGCTTGTCTCTTTACTCCTTTAAAAGAACGTCCGGACCTGCCTCCTGTGCAGTATGAACCTGTGCTTTGCAGCAGGCCAACTTGCAAAGCCATTCTCAATCCACTATGGTAGGAATTCCTTTAAAAACTTGTGAAAATGATGAATACAATAAATTATCCCATTTATGTGATCCTCATAAAAATCAGTCAGTTGGGCAGGTCGTCAGTTTTCAGTGAGATTCTTAGGTGATGGATGCTTGTAGACATCTCCCTGTCCCAACATTCCAGATAAAATTAGAATCTTAGGGGAATAAGGTGGAGGTAGAGGGAAAGGATTCCCAGTTCACTTTATTTGCTGATTGTCAGTTTGCTGTTGGCTTAGTCCATACCTGTTAGGTTTTACTGGCACCTTTTAAAGCATTTTTCCCCCTAAACCCAAAAGCTTTAGACGAGTTTTTCTATTACTTACCTGGTATGGTGATGTTGTATGACGGGAAGAAGTGATAGACATTAACTGTAATGATTTTAACTCTAGTGATTTTATTGTTAAATGTTGTGATTTTTCTGCACCTGAGACCTATGGTATTTCTCTTGGATATAGGATTATTTGAAAGAATTTTAAACAGGTAGAGTGTGTCATAAATGTTCTTTAAAAAATAAACTTTTCATGTGAGGAAGTATTTTTTGCTTCATTCTCCTTGCTTTAACTTAATGTGCCCATCTACAAACTGATGCTGCTTTGTTTTTAAAGTGATGCCCATTGATTGTTAATTTTCTAAATGTAGAAAAGGAAATAAAGCAACTGAAGCATTGTCTTGAACCAGTTCTAGGAAGTGTGTCAGCCCCCACTTTCTTCAGGTGGACTATATGAGGTTAATGTCTAGAAAGTTTTCCTGTGTGTGAAATGTGCTGCTTTTAGTATTGAAATTAAGTAGCTTCACAAACCTGAACAATAAAAATGTTAGAAAAAAGTGCTGTCAATAAGTTGTACACCTGTAAAAAGTTGAATTGGCATAAGTTGTATGATGGACATATTAACAACAATGACCAAAAAAATAGTAGCTGCTGAGGCTGCTTATGTGCAGCCAAACACATCATGGGATTTAGTTCTTTGCTTTGGAGGTTTTGGGTCCTTGTTTCATGGGACATCCCAGTTAACTGGCCTAATACCACATTTAGTGCTTCTGTTCTACCTCCTACTTCCCTGCGGAGTTCCTTGGGTCTTAAAAGCTTCCAGGCTGCCGTTCAAGGCACAGCAATTGGTCTCTTGTTTGCCTGGAGCAACAGAGGAAGAAGGATAGGTAGAAATAGGAGGAAACGGAATATGTGGCTAATTGCCTCCATGAATAACTGCCTCCTTTGCTATGAGACCAGGAGAACTGGATGGTGCCTTGCTACCATTTCCAACATTTTGATCAACGAGTCTGTAGAAGAATCCTGATCAAAAGGAAGAAAATGCAGAACAGAATTTCAAATTCTCATGGACTCCAGACTTTCTGGAGCAACAGAGGAAGAAGGATAGTTAGAAATAGGAGGAAACGGAATATGTGGCTAATTGCCTCCATGAATAACTGCCTCCTTTGCTATGAGACCAGGAGAACTGGATGGTGCCTTGCTACCATTTCCAACATTTTGATCAACGAGTCTGTAGAAGAATCCTGATCAAAAGGAAGAAAATGCAGAACAGAATTTCAAATTCTCATGGACTCCAGACTTTCTGGAGCCATGGAGGTTAGATGAACCCCTGAAACTATTGCCCTGAGATAATCTTTAAACCTTAAAACAAAAATATCCCCTGAAGTCTTCTTAAAACCAAACAATAGTTTAACTTAACTAGTAAAAAATGTCTGCCTTGAGCACCATACTCTTTTAAGATCTACCTATATGCGATCAAATTGACAATAGCAACTTGAAAGGTTAGCTAGGAACGTGAGTTTATATTTTGGGGGAGGAACAACTCAGAAAAGGAGGGTGAGAATGGTCACACAACTCAAAGAATGTAATCAGTGTCACTGAATTGTACGTGTAGAAACTTGAATTGATGTATATTTTGCTGTGTATATTCTCAACAACAAGAAAATAAATACAATTTTTTTAATGTTAGAAAAAACACAAAGACTATGTTAACAGTTCAAAAAGAAATCTATAATTTATATAAATCATGAAATTAAAAAAATTAGGAAAGAGGAAAAAGGATTTACTAATTCTGTTTAGTAATACCAGCTGTTTGAAGGAAACTTTCAGTGTACTACATAGCCAGAGCACTAAGAGCAGCGAACGTTTTGCACACGCTTATCCGTTCATGTACACACACATAGAAACTCTCCTCTGTGTGATTTACTCAACTTGAAATTCACATTTGAATGCTTTCTACCCCAAAAATTGGAATGGTACTTACCTATAATATTTATCTTTTTCACAGTCAGGTTGATTATCGAGCAAAGCTTTGGGCCTGCAATTTCTGTTTCCAAAGAAATCAGGTATGTGAATTATTTTAAAAAATAATTTTACTTGTTTCATTTTAGTCGTGTGTACTATTCTGAAAAAATTAAGTGAGATTGAATTTGTCTATCCTGGCAGTAAGCAATTTCTGCTGTACTCAAGGTGGTAGCTTTTGTTAAGCATAATATTAAACCTTGACATTTGTGATTTTTCTGTTGTATGGTGGCTCTGTTTCATTATTGGAGTGCTTATTATTTGCTATAGAGGAGACATAAAATTTCATTTTCTTTTAAATTCTCTGTAGGTAGTGAATCTATTACCCTAAGAAAACAGATCTGTTGTTCATATTTCACTTCAGTGTGTTCTAATTATATAATGTAGTTTACTGAATTTTAATTTCCTGATCTTTCTAACTTTTAGGGCCCAAGTATCAGTGTTGAGTCCCTTTTGATTTTCAGATTTTAAAACTGCTAAACCAGAAGTAGCTCGGAAATGACAAGAGAGACTTCCCTTTAAAATTAGTTACGCCAGTAATGGAAATGTTCTAAAATTAGGTTGTTGTGATTTTTGCATAACTGAAAATTTATTAAAAATCATTGCATTGTACTCTTAAAATGAGTGGATTTTATAGTGTGTAAATTATACTTCAGTAAAGCTGTTAGGAAAAAAAATTGTGTCCAACAGAATTCTGTTTTCCGATAGATCTTAAGCTGTTGATAACATTCATTTATTTGTGCTCATATTTGATCATAATTAGAATTAACAGTGTCATCTCAGATACAGCATGTAATCAGTCCAATGATGAAGAAAACAATGTGTAGTTGATGACTAACTACAAGTTTGGAAGCTATAAGGAGATTCTATTCAAGATTTATCTCCACAAGAGATTCAGAAGTATATGTAAAAAACATCTCTACACCCTATTACATTTAGAACTGATGGCTGTCTTTAATGTAATTCATTGTCAGAATTCTAAGACAGGGTAGAGTGTTGGTTAAAAGCAAGGACTCTGGAGCCAGGCTGCCTCACTTTCACTCTCAGACCCACCTGTGTAACTTTGGGCAAGTCGCTGAACCTCCTGTTTCTCAGTATCCTTGTCTTTAAAATTAGGATAATAGCACTACCTACCTCATAGTACTGTTGTGAGAATTAAACTAAGGAAATGAACGTAAAGCCCTTAGAACAGTGCTTGTCACATAGTAAGAGCCAGGTAAGTATTTGATCTTCTATGATTACTTTTTAAAGATTGGGTAAGGCATATCTATAGTGACCACCTGCCAGTTGGTAGGTGTGGTCTAGAAATCTATGTGCCTTTGGCTGAAGTCATCTTTTGTAACCCTCCCAGCGGGTCCACGGGAAAAGGAACCTAAGTGAGTTGTAGAGCTAGAAGATGAGAGATGAGCCCTTGAGGGATCAGGGTGATCTCAGCCCCCTCCGACCCCTGGGTGAGCGAACAAGGCCTCTTCAGGTTACTAGGAAGGAGCCAGTGTGTCTGGCTGTATCTGTGTTTCTCTCACACGTTTTTGTAGTCCTAGATAAAGCTCCATTCTGCTAGGAGCTGCAGCCTGTCAGTAGCCATGGTCAGGATGGGGCTAGAGCTCTTTTGTTGGTTCCTGCTGGGACTCCTGATGCCCTGGTAGTATCCCTCCCTCCTGGCCAGTGGCCACTTGAGGCTGCCTGTCAGCCCTTCAGCAGCACTTCTGTTTGGTCACTCTGTGCTCTGTCATTGGCTGGAGTGATCGCCTCCTAAACCTTGGGAAAGATAAACCTAATTTTTTTTTTTTTTTTTTAATATCAAGCTATAGATTATCAGGATTAAAACCAGCCCACAAGCTATGGATTTAAAATGTTTTTGGAGAGTTTTTGAAACAGTAGAAAATCCTATGCCATTATGTTAAGTGCAAAAAGCAGGTTGCAAATTTCTAAGTACAGCATGATCTCAACTGTGCCTAAGTAGGAAAATTCTGGAAGGAAATATTGACAGTCATTGCCTCTAGATGATGCGATTATGGGGTTCTGTTGTGTTCCCCCCCATTATTTTCCTATATTTGCCAATTTTTCTACATTAAACATGTATTAAATGATGATTTTTGTGTCTCAGTAACTTTTTGTGCTTCTAGTATTAATACATGGTCATTAAATATGTTTATAAATGGAAAATAAAACAGTATTTTATTCAGCCCTAATAAAGCATTGTTTTGTATATGTCTTCTCTTCAGTTTCCTCCAGCTTATACAGGCATAACTGAGGTGAATCAACCTGCTGAATTGATGCCTCACTTTTCTACGATTGAGTACGTGATACAGGTAACTTCTGTGCCTGTGAATTTAATGAACAATGTTAAATAAAATACTGAGTTTTCCTTAATCCTTTGTCTTCCATGTTCTTAATGAGATAGATTGACACAGTGGCTGCAACAATGGGCGCAAGCATAGCAACAATTGTGAGGATGGCACAGGACCGGGCAGTGTTCCCTTCTGTTGTACATAGAGTCGTTATGAGTCGGAACTGACTCAGCGGCACCCGACAACAACAACTGAACGACAAGGGAAGGGGGATAGAAATCTGTGAGGGCATCAGGGTCCTAAACATTAAGTTATGGTGCATGTGCACTTATTGGCATTGTTTTTGAGTCTGGATAAAGGCTACAAAAAAAAGGCGAAACTGATTAAATTAAAAACCTGTCCCCACACAGCCTGCTGCATCTCAGCTGCTGGTACTTCGCTCTCCTAGTTGTTCGGCTTAAAAACCTTAGACTCATCTTTAATCTCTCTCTTCCTCTCACATCCCGTATCTAATCCATTAGGAAATCGCATTGGCTCTGTATTCAGAATTTATCCAGATTCTAACCACCTCTATCGCTCTCTCTCCCTTTTCTGCCTCCCTCTCCACCGCTGCTCTCTTGGGTCAAGCACTGTCTGTCATCGTATTTCTTTGGCAGTCCCCTAACTAGTCTTCCTGGTTTTCCACTTGCCCCCTTCCTTATATTTTATTCTTAACCCAGCAACCACCATGATTTTCTAAAGATACATACCACGTTACTTCTCTGTTCAGAAACCCTCAGTGGCTCCCCTGTCACTGAGAGTAAAAGAGTCTTCGAGCCCCGTGTGAGCCAACCCTGTGGTAACACTGTGACCTCAACTTCCGGTAGTGCCTGCGCTTGGCCGAATGGGCCTCCTTGGCTTAGGACCTTTGCTCTGTCTTTTTCCTCAGGATGGCACTCTCTTCCCCCGTGTATCTCTGTGGGTCCTTCCCTCTTCTCCTTCAGTTTTTCGCTCAAGTGATACTTTCTCGATGAGGCTGCCTGGACCTCTCTAATATCTGGAACCTGCCCCTGCCTCCACTACTGGTGTTTGTAATCCCCCTTACTCTGTTGTCCTTTTTCTTTTTTTTAATGGCACTTGCACCTTCTAAGATATTATATAACTTATTTGTTATGTTTATTGTCTGTCAATTCTCTCCCCAATCCAGAAAGTTAGCTCCTTGAGGCAGGCAGGGATCTCTGTTCCTTCCGTTCACTGATGCATCCAAGGACCTGGAACAGTGTCTGGCACATAGTAGGTATTCAGAAATGTTGAGTAAATTGTTAGATACAGACCTATAGCTTGTATGTTTAGTTTGTTTTGATAGAACCTGAGCCCGGGTGGCACAGTGGTTAAGAGCTGAGCTGCTAACCAAAAGGTTGGCAGTTCGAATCCACCAGCCGCTCCATGGAAACCCCATGCGGCAGTTTCTGTAGGGCCACTATGAGTTGGAATCGACTTGACTGCAGTAGGTTTGGTTTTTGTTTGTTTGTTTTTTAAGTTATTTAATAAGGTAAGTAGAAGTTAGAGATTTGTGTAGATGTCCTTATCCCCTTCTTGGAGGCTTTACTCTCATAAAGACAGATGAAAACTTGCCATTTTCATACCTGATTTGTTTTAAAAAGAGCCGGTTGTATCTATTTGGGTACTGATTGTTATGCTGTTTTTCTTTGCATGAAGCGAGGTGCTCAGTCCCCTCTGATCTTCCTCTATGTGGTTGACACATGCCTGGAGGAGGATGACCTTCAAGCCCTCAAAGAGTCCCTACAGATGTCCCTGAGTCTCCTCCCTCCAGACGCTCTGGTGGGCCTGATCACGTTTGGGAGGATGGTGCAGGTTCACGAACTAAGCTACGAAGGAATCTCCAAAAGTTATGTCTTTCGAGGAACCAAGGATTTAACTGCAAAGCAAATTCAGGTTTGTGTCTTGCTTGAACACAAACAGTAATATGGACATTTCTTAAAAATTAGTCACTTGCTTTTACTTTTAATGTTATGGGAAATGAGTCTTTTTGGTTTTCTAGGATATGCTGGGCCTTACCAAGCCAGCCATGCCCACGCAGCAAGCAAGACCTGCTCAACCACAGGAACACCCTTTTGTTTCCAGCAGGTGAGGTCTGACATGTTGTATTATACCTACTATATGGGGCATGCAAGAGAGTCCATTGGAGTGAGGGAAGAAGAACATCAGAAATTTTATTATATTATTTTTATTTTTTTTATATTTTATTGTAGTTCAGGTGAAGGCTTACAGAACAAATAGTTTCTCATGAAACAGTAGTACACATGTTGTTTTATGACATTGGATAACACCCTCACAACATATTAACCCTCTAACTTCTCAATTTTTTTTTTTTTTTTTGGTGAAAATACACATAGCCAAATATACACTATTTCAAAAATTTCTACATACACAGTTCAGTGACATTTGACTACGCTCTTCCAATTGTGCTGTTATTCTCACTTAAGATGAAGGCTTACAGAACAAAATAGTTTCTCATTTAACAGTTACTACAAATGTTGCCCTATGAAAATGGTTAACAATCTCACAACACATTAACAATATCCTTACTCAACCTTATGTTCCCTATCACCAGCTTCCTTGTCCCCTTCTGCCTTCTGGCCCTTGTCACTGGACTCCTGTACCTCGTTAGTCTCATTTGGTTTTACCGGGCTGTCCACTCCCAGGCTGAACGGTGAACCTCAGAGATAACTTCACCACTGAGCTAAAAGGGTGTCTGGGAGCCATACTCTCGGGGTTTCTCCAGTCTCCTTTAGTCCAGTATATCTGGTCTTTTTTTTTTTGTGAGTTAGAATTATGTTCTATGTCCTTCTCCACCCAGAACCGTCTGTTGTGATCCTGGTCAGAGCAGTCAGTGGTGGTAGCCGGGCACCATCTAGCTGTACTGGACTCAGTCCGGTGGAGGCCTTGGTAGCTGTGGACAGTTAGTCCTTCAGACTAATCCTTTCCTTGTATCCTGTTCTCTTCGTTCTCCCTTGCTCCTGAAGGGATGAGACCAGTGGAGTATCTTAGATGGCTGCTCACAGGCTTTTAAGACCCCAGACACTACTCACCAAGGTAGAATGTAGAGCTTTGTCTTTATAAGCTGTGTCATGCCAATTGAGCTAGATGTTCCCCGAGACCATGGTCCCCACAGCCCTCCGCCCCGCAATTCAGTCCCACGGGGAGTTTGGATGTGTCTATGCGGCTTCCGTGACCTTTCCTTGTACAGGTTGTGCTAGTTATTTTCTTATTTTTAGAGAAGAAAATAAATGCTTACATCTAACCAATATCTACTAGTTTATAATGTATATAACACATCAGTACATATGTATAATTTTTAACTAAATTCTTACACACGCATGTACATATATGGGAGATTTGCTCAGAATATTTTTCCTGCTACTGTTGTTCGAGACCAAAAATGTTTGAAACCACTGAATTCAGTCATTCTCCTCATCTTGGACACGTATATGTTGTCCTTGTTGATCTTTAAGTAAAACTGGAAAAATTGGAACTCTTTGGGTTGCACCCCAAGAAACCTGAGGCTAGACACTCACTTTACCCCGTCTGTTGGGGGCCTGGGGCTGCCTTGGGCAGGGTTAAAAGCCAGCAAACACAATAAAGTGCATTGGCGAACATACTGGGGACAGCGCCTCTATTCTGATAAGAAACGACAGTGCTTCTCCTAAGGCTCAAGAGAAGCACAAACTGAATCTTTAGAATGATGGAAGAGTGTCCTCATAGATGAACCACACATGGGTTGAATTCACGTTAGGCTTGTCCGCAGATTCCTTGCTGATTAAAATCAAACTGATTTGCTTTGCTGTAGTTTGATTGTCTTATATGCTATGTATATAAATTGCTAAGTACTAGACTTTTAATTTTATTCCTCAATAAAATTGCTTTGAACTATTTTGTGTTTGTAGTTTGAGATTAACTTTGAAGGAAAAAAATTACAATTTTTTGTCTACTCTGAATAATTATCTTGAAGAGCAGTAAGTATCACCTAGGGTTGAAAATCAGAGTACTTTATTAAGCTGTATTGACATGTCCATTCAAAATTGTGCAGATTTCTGCAGCCTGTTCACAAGATTGACATGAACCTCACTGATCTTCTTGGGGAGTTGCAAAGGGACCCATGGCCAGTAACTCAGGGGAAAAGACCTCTGCGATCCACTGGTGTTGCTTTGTCCATTGCTGTTGGCTTGTTGGAGGTAATTCAGAATTTACTGGGACTTCTCAAATCATGGAAACTTGCTATCAGAAATTGTACTTGTTGGCTTTTTTCAAAATCAGTTGTGACCTAAGTCAGTTGACTCTCAGTTAATTTATCAGAAAGTACTTCATTATTATTATCTACACTGAAGGAAGCCTTTCATGTTTTCAAAATACCTAAAGTTTTTGTAAGAAACAGGGAATTAGGGTAATGATAAATGCTGAGAGTAAGTTAATAAAACTGAGTAAAACGATCAGGAAGAAGATAAACATCGCTTTTGTGGTATTATCAGTATTAAGAACAGCTGAGAAAACTCATCTTTGAGGTATTTAGGGAAACTGAAACCATGCTTGGGGTGGGGCTGTATACTTCTAAAATGATGCCATTTGTGGTTTTAGGGCACTTTTCCAAACACAGGAGCCAGGATCATGTTGTTCACTGGAGGTCCCCCCACTCAAGGGCCTGGCATGGTGGTTGGAGATGAATTAAAGACTCCTATTCGTTCCTGGCATGATATTGAAAAAGACAATGCACGTTTCATGAAAAAGGCAACCAAGGTAGGTATTCTTGGAGAGGCTAATTATGGTGACCCAGTGCCAGGCTGAGGCTGCACAGGAGTGACATGGGCTACTTCCTGAGGCCATACTTCATGGTCAGCATGATGCTCTTACTGTCTGTACTTTTAGACCTTAGAGTGGGTGGCCTTAAAACTACTATAAGTTTTTTTTTTTAATTGTACTTCAGGTGAAGGTTTACAGAACAAATAGTTTGTCGTTAAACAGTAGTACACATATTGTTTTATGACATTGGTTAACAGCCCCACGACATGTCAACCCTCTCCTTTCTCAACCTTTTTTTTCTTTTTTTTTTGGTGAAAATATACATAGCCAAAGATACACCATTTCAAAGATTTCTACATGCACAGTTCAGTGACATCGACTACACTCTTCCAATTGTGCTGCTGTTCTCACTTTAGATGAAGGTTTACAGAGCAAAATAGTTTCTCGTTAAACAGTTAATATACAGGTTGCGCTATGACAATGGTTAACAACCTCACTACACATCAGCACTGTCCTTAATCAGCCTCGGGTTCCTTATCACCAGCTTTCCTGTCCCCTTTTGCCGTCTAGCCCTTGTCCCTGGACTGCTTTGCCTCATTCCCTTTTGTTTTATGGGGCCGTCCAATCCCCAGCTGAACGGTGAACCTTGGAAGTGACTTTACCACTGAGCTAAAAGAGTGTCTGGGTGCCATACTCTCAGGGTTTCTCCAGTCTCCTTTAGGCCAGTAAATCTGGTCTTTTTTGTGTGTGTTAGAATTTTGTTCTACATCCTTCTCCAGCTCT